GGTAATACATTCTGCCTGTGTGCTCTAAATTTCATTTTAGGGTATTTTAACCTCAAAATATTGGTTTGATAAACAGTTGTGCAAATACCGTGCGACATAAAAAATTGCAACTAGCATTTTCATATTCTACAGGGTCTCAGCTTTCAGAAAATGTATAATTGTTTGGGGGTCTGAAGCTGTTTTCTAGCCAAAAAGATTCTGATTGTATCATGTGTGCAAGAATGAAGAAGGCGCTCTGTGGATGGGAAGAGATACATGATAATTTTCTTTGGCAGCCCTACCACTGCTGAATCCCACCACTGGAATGCTCTATCCACTAGAGACAGTGATTTGTAAGGAGAGGAACTCCCATCCAGTCTTGGCCAGGGACTGGAAGCACATACAGGATGTGGTTGGCCTGTAGCCGTTCAACAACCCAAAAAATGATCAACATTGGGATGACGCAGCGCGATTGCAAGAATGCCATTACATTTTTTGTCAGTCACAGCTCAGGCAGCCAATGGCAGAGTCACTTAGGGATGGGAATGACAGTTGACAACTCCTGTGACAGTTGGCCTACCCTGACTGTACATGGAGCAACCAGGTGGAAGATTATGTTTGTCACTATGAGGCACTGCTTTAGGCTTGGTTCACACCTGAACGTTTTGTAGCGCGTTCAACGCTCGATGAACGCTCTGCAAAACGCTCAAACATCTAAATCCCATTGTATTCAATGGGTCTGGTTCACACCTTGCCGTATTTCCGCCCGTCCGAACGCGATACAAAACGGCCTACGCCCAAAGAAGTACATGTACTTCTTTGGGTGTTTTGGTCTCGCGTTTCCATTGGGATACAGCCAAGTAGCCCACGGAAACGCGCGACAAACGCGCATATTCAATACGCCTAAGTGTGAACCCAGCCTTATGGTGTGTACTCTGCTGCCTTCTATTGTTAGGAGTAGGGCAAGGGGGAGGAGACTGGAATTAAAATCCCCTGACCCCGAAGTCCGGTGCACTTATGTATGAAAATGACGATTGCGCTACAAAAGTCAGGTATCGCCGCGTGCGGCAGGGTGAGAGCAATATTCATGGCTAACTCTAAACTGATGATCGAGCTCTTAGATTTTTATTAAAAGTTTGGTTATTTTATTATATCAGCTTTTTTTTTTTTCTTCAATGCAGATTATATTTTAATACATTAAACTAATCAAAATGTCTAATATAATATATACAATTATTTATAAAAGAGGTGGGAAAAAAAAGTAATTTTTGGATTTGGCCTGACAAATGCTGCTGCGGGATGTGCATTGCGGTGTCATTCATTTCAAGGAATTCAATCAGCCGCACTGGAACGCACGGTACCGCAATGCCATGTGTTCCATTGCAGTGCGATTGCAAAAATTGTGCATGCAGTTTTATTCTGAAGTAAGCTTTATGTTTGTAACACTCCATTTGTGTATTTTATTTTAAATAAAAGATGGGGGTTTTTAAAAAAAGGAGAACTATGAGGTGAGTGATTTTCACTCATCCACATAGTTCTAGCCGACCTGTGACAATGAAACTGTCACAGGTCGGCTCAGTAGATCGGGAAGTGAGCGAACACTTAGCGGCGCTCGCTCACTTCTCGATCCTGTGCCGGCAGAGAGCCGTGACAGGGGAGGGACTTTATTCCCCTGTCCGATCCTCCAGCGCTGAATGGCGGAACGGACTGGGGAGGGGGCGGGTACAGCTGGCTCTGCCTCCAGATAGGCAGAGCCAGCTGTCACTCACGCAGCTGGGTGGATACAGACATAATTGTCGGGATCCGTTCTGGCTGCGGCGTCTCAGTATACCGCAAGCTGCAGCTCGCGGTATACTGAGCTTTGGGTGACGGGAGGATGCTAGTTTGTGTCCTCCCGTTACCCTTAGGAGAACTACGGGGAAAAGGCCTAACCCCATACTTCTCCTTTAATCCGATTATTTTTTGTGATTAATAGTCTAACTAATCGATTATGAAAATAATCGTTAGTTGCAGACCTACATTACACACTCCTGGCTCCTGCACTCGGCATTACACACTCCTGGCTCCTGCACTCGGCATTGCACAATCCTTACCCCTGAACTCTGCATTACACAGTCTTGAACCATGTATTCTGTATAATGCACTCCTGAACCCTGCACTCTGCATTACACACTCCTGATCCTAGCAGTCTATGTTACACACTCCTGATCACTGCACTGTGCATTACACACTCCTGATCCCTGAACTCTGCATTACACACTCCTGAACCCTGAACTCTGCATTGCACACTCCTGACCCTGCACTCTGCATTACACACTCCTGACCCTGAACTCTGCATTACACACTCCTGAACCATGTTCTCTGCATTAAACACTCCCAGCTCCTGCACTCTGCATTACACACTCCTGATCCTAGCAGTCTGCATTACACACTCCTGACCTGCACTCTGCATTACACACTCCTGATCCTAGCAGTCTGCATTACACACTCCTGACCTGCACTCTGCATTACACACACTCCTTATCCGCGGACTCTGCATTACACACTCCTGACCCGCGCTCTCTGTACTCCTGGCTCCTGCACTCGGCATTGCACAATCCTTACCCCTGAACTCTGCATTACACAGTCTTGAACCATGTATTCTGTATAATGCACTCCTGAACCCTGCACTCTGCATTACACACTCCTGATCCTAGCAGTCTATGTTACACACTCCTGATCACTGCACTGTGCATTACACACTCCTGATCCCTGAACTCTGCATTACACACTCCTGAACCCTGAACTCTGCATTGCACACTCCTGACCCTGCACTCTGCATTACACACTCCTGACCCTGAACTCTGCATTACACACTCCTGAACCATGTTCTCTGCATTAAACACTCCCAGCTCCTGCACTCTGCATTACACACTCCTGATCCTAGCAGTCTGCATTACACACTCCTGACCTGCACTCTGCATTACACACTCCTGATCCTAGCAGTCTGCATTACACACTCCTGACCTGCACTCTGCATTACACACTCCTGATCCTAGCAGTCTGCATGACACACTCCCAGCTCCTGCACTCTGCATTACACACTCCTGATCCTAGCAGTCTGCATTACACACTCCTGATCCTAGCAGTCTGCATTACACACTCCTGATCCTAGCAGTCTGCATTACACACTCCCAGCTCCTGCACTCTGCCTTACACACTCCTTATCCCTGAACTCTGCATTACACACTCCTGAACCATGTTCTCTGCATTAAACACTCCTGAACCATGTACTCTGCATTAAACACTCCTGACCACTGCATTCCACATTACACACTCTTGACCCTTGTATTCTGCATTCCACACTCCTGACCACTGCATTCCACATTACACACTCCTGACCACTGCATTCCACGTTACACACTCCTGACCCTTGTATTCTGCATGCACTTCTGACCATTCCCCTTTAGGTTCTCCCCCCACTATTAGCACAATTGAGACTCATTTTTCTCCTTATCTGGGTTCCCACAGGTGCCCCAGGTCTTTCACGACCCTGCTTTCCACCATTCCAATTATCTCTAGAACAAAACCGCTCTTGTAAGCTGTGTGCACTATATAGCACAGCTATCCATTTTCACATTTTAAACAAATGAGGAAAAAGATTTATAGGGTTAGGAAGTTATGCAAACAATTGTGAAAGCCAGTAGTCAAGGGGCTTTTCCAAAGTTTCGTAAGTAGTTTCTGTAATCAGATACATCCATTGTAATCCACTGAACTCTTACGTCAGGTTTCCTTCCACATACACAGTATAAAACTTATGTCAACATTCCTTCCACATACTGCCCAGCAAGAAGACTGTGAGGTATGATAATATAACCTGACACTCTGAACAGCTATTCTCTATCATGTTTTGGAATGCTGCATTAATGTTTTTGTTTCTTCTAGGTATTTTATGAACACAAACATGAGTTTATATACAATTCTTTTTCTTTCCACTCTGGCCGGTAAGTACAATAAAAAAATATGAATGAAAATGAATGTAGGTTTTAATCTTCATATATAATCAAATAGGTGAAGAAGCTTACAAGCATAAACATTAGTTAAAGGTAAAGTCCACCTTTTAGAAAAAAAAAATACACTTCTTTATACAAAAAAAGTGCATTTATAATTGTTTTCAACTGGAGCCAATTAAGCATTGTAACCGGGGTCAGTAGATCATGGGTGCAATGCTCTGGCTCCTGCAGACTCTTCCTTCTGTCTATGTCTGTACAGCAGTACGGATCACCTGGACGGGAGGAAGGATGAATGGACTACAAGTGCGGTGATATCACTGTACTTTTATTCCATTGAGAATCCGTTGAATCCCTCTGCCCTGATTGCCCTCAAAGGATCTGTGAATGGATCGCACGGTTTTGTGCCCGGAAAAATTGCACAGCCAAGCCGAATACAAAAAACATATGTGACCATTTTCATGTTACACCCTAAGTATAGGTGTAGCATGAAACATGGATCAGAAACGTAAACGTAACCTTTAAACCTTGGTTACTAGTACTACTAATATAGATGTACTTATGCTGTGACATTAACAGGATACAAGGGTAGGAATGTACTATTTAGTCTTGGCTCCTAGGGTAATAAACCTGAACTCCAGTCAGGATATAAACGATCCATCACACAGCATAATTATGTGATTGCGTGCATGCCGGAATCCTCAGCAGCCCCTCTCCACTCATGGTGAAGGTCTGTATAACTTGTGTATCAGCAGGGCTTAGTAGAACACTCCACACTTATCAAAGCCAGTTATATGCAGCTGGAGCCTACTGTATGTACAGATAACCCTCATCCATGCTCCATTTATTCAATAGGCACACATGTTATACAAAGATTTGTTAGGACTTCTAACAAGGTGAATACCCTCCAGCACAGGCGTAGGCAACCTCGGCATTCCAGCTGTGGTGAAACTGCAAATCCCATCTTACCTCCAGGAATCATGCTTGTGGCTATCAGAGTATTGCAATGCTCCATGGGACTTGTAGTTCCCCATGAGCGTGAATGCCGAGGTCGCCCACACTGCTCCTCTAGCTAGTACTCAGTAATCATGTGTTTGCTCTACATACCTAAACGTTGTTGTTTTCTACAGTTTAATAATCATCATAGTACATACAGTGAGCTCCAAGACCTTTCCTACCATTTGAAGGTCTGACGGAGATCAGAGTATACAGAGTGTCATGACTGAAACGTTTATAAAAGATTAAACCTAGAAAACTTGCACTTCAGCGGGGTTAGTGTTTATCAGCTTATCACACTTTAGGCAGCATAGTCTCTAATTGGAGACCAAACTCTGTGTATGCTTTCTTTTCCAGCCACTCTATATGCATCTGGAATCTATGGAGACATCAATAACGTTCCCACAACTGGTGCTTCTTGTACCACAGCCAAACAAGACAAATTGAAGGATTGTGGTAAGTTATTACTAATTTGAATGTAGTAACCAAATGACCGATTTTAAAAGTATAGAGAATATGGCTTCCCACAGGGCACGCAGTGTTTGAATCCTTCATAAGGAGCAGGTCTTGGTGTGGAGTCTGGGTTGTCCTTTGGGGCGCCACTCGCGCTGTCCGTGCAAATTGCTGGGGATAGGGGGAGTTACAGTGCTGTCCATGCTTGTTCCGGGGCGGGGGTTGTGCTGGGGGGGGGCGTCCTTG